CTCTTCTCATCCCTTAGAGCCAGCTCTCTGGCCTCCTTTCCCTCTTCCCTGCTCTGGGACTCCTTCCTGTCCCCTCTCCACCTGGGCCTCAGACTCCCGTGGCTGTCCCTTTATCCCGTGCCATCGCTCTGCTGTCTCACTTACTCTGTCTCTCCACCTCTCTACTCCCATTGCCTGCTCTGTTCCCTTCCCCTGTTCTCGTCTCTCCACCCATCTCTTTGCTCTCCTTTCTCACCTCACTCTATGTCTCCTTCCCATGTTCCCAATTCTTTGCTCCTCTGATTCTGTCTCCCTGGCTCCCTCTGTGTCTCTGTCTCTCTCTCACTTTCCACACCCTCTCTCTCTGTGTCCTCTCCCTTGCTCCTCTCCTCTTCTGTTCTCTCTCTCCTCTCTCTATCTCTTTCTCTCCTCTCTCCTCTGTCTCTCTCTCTCTCTCCCTCCTGTCTCTGCCTCTCTTTTCTCTCTGTCCCTCTCTCCTATCTCTTTCTCTCTCTCTGTCTCTTTCTTTTCTCTCACTCTCTCTTTCTCCTCTGTCTTGTTATCTATCTCTCCTTGTTTCTGTCTCTCTCTTTTCTTTCTCCCACCCTCTCCTATCTCTCTCTTTTTCTCTCTCTGTCTCTCCCCTCTCTTTCACTCTGTCCATCTCTACTCCCTAACCCTGTCTCCATCTCTCTCCCTCCTTTCTCCCTTTTCTCTCTCTCTCTTTTCTCTCTCTCCTGTTCTCTGTCTCTGATTCTGTCTTTCTCCTTTTTCTCTCTCTTTTTCTCCTCTCATTCTCTCTTCCATCTATCCCTGTCCCTCCTCACTGTCTCTATCTCTCTCCCTCTAACTCTCTTTTGTCTCTGTCTTTCTCTTTGCTCTCTGTCTCTCCTCTCTTCTCTTCTTCCTCTTCTCCTCCTCCTCCTCCTCCTCCTTCTTCTTCTTCTTCTCTGTCTCTGATCTCTCTCTCACCCCTGTTCCCATTTATTTTCCTTTTCTCTTTTCCTTTTACTCTGTCTCTCCCTGTCTCTGTCTCTCCTGTTCCCACCTCGTTTCCCATCTCTCTCCCTGGCTCTTGTCTTTTCCCATCTCTCTGTATGTCTCTCCTTGTCTCTGCCTCGACCTCTCCTGTTGCCATCTCTGCTCCTGTCTGTGTGCCTGACGCTGCAGCCCCCTCTCCCCTCCTGGGCCAGGCCAGGCCAGGCCAGGCCCACTTGGCTATTAGTCGTTCTTGGGATTGCTTTTTTTCATTGCCTGGTCCCTTTCACTGGAGAAAATGGTTTGGTAATGCTTCTTTTATCACAGAATTAGGGGATTTAGGGCCCAGATCTGACAAAGGGACTTTCATAGGAGCTGGGAATCAGGCGCCAATCAGCCCCACATCTCTGGGGCCTGTGAGCAGAGAGGGAAACCGAGGGATTATGAATGTCCTGTTTACTGAGCCTCCTTCCTGATAGCATCTCAGACCGCTCTGTTGGAGAAAAGAAGTGAGATCCAGAAAGGAGCGGCTGGACCCAGAACAATGTAGGGCTGCTGGCGGTGGGGAGGAAGGCAGCCCAAGATTGGGCCTATTGGGGAAAGAGATTCAAAAGCCATTAGAGAGGCTTAACACTGAGGTTAATCTGCTTTGGCCGTTCATTTGTCAAAAGTGAATTTATAGGTTTGGAAAAATCTTGCCTGTGGCGAGGAGGCCTCAGGAAGCAGCCTCCCCGCTGCCTGCCACCTCCTGGGTCCCCAGCATCCTGCTGCCTCCCTGTCCCCCTCAGCCTGTCCCCCTCACCTTGTCCCTACCAGCCGCTGGCACCCCCGACCCCTTCCTCACTCTTGTCCTGGGTCCCTCACTTTATAACCAGCAACCTCCCCCCACCCCACCCCGCCCCATCCCTGCCGCCTCACTCTTGCCATACCAGCCTCCTTCTGCTCCCAGACCCTCAGCCTTCCTCCATCAGCCTCCTACTTTCATCCTCAGTGTCCTCACTGTGCCTACAAACATCCAAACTCCCCTGTCGCCTTATACCATCCCTTCCATATCCCCTAACTCAGTCCCTACCAGTCCCCCGACTTCTCTGTCTCCTCAGCCTCCTCCTGCCAGCCTCCCAGCCTCCCTGCCCCCTCACCCTTTGGTCCCAGTGTCCCATTTTGTCTCCAACTAAAGAGCCGTAACTAGGGCTAGGTGCCTTGAGCTTTGCCCCAGAGTGCGCAGTGTAGGGGGGCTGATGGCGCTTGGGGGGCTTCAGCTGCTTAATTACCGAGAACAATTCATTAGAAAAGGAAGCCTCCAATACCAGGGCAGCGGCTTTTCCCCTTTCCGTGTGATCTCCCAGCTTCCCTATGGTCCCAGGCTCAGCTGCAGACACAGTTCGTGTTTCTTACCCCGGGAGTGGACATGGCTTGCAGCTCCCTCCCAAGGAACCCTCCCACAGCCCCATCCATCTGCACTGTGCACTCTCCCTCCCTCCTGGCCTCCCTCCTGGGGGCTTCCCTCCTCCTCACTGCCTCCACCCTCCCAGTGTCCAGTGCTCCCCAGCCTCCTCCATCTGTCGGGCCCATCCACCTATCTGTATCTGCCCTGTCCCAGTTGTAGGTCAAGAATCCCAGCCAGCTCTCTGGAGATGACCCCTTCCCATTTAGCTAACGTCCGTACTCAGCTGGGCCTTAGTTACCAGTTATAATTTGTCCCTGGGTCTAGACTTGAAACCCTCCCAGCTCGGCAGGGCCTTCCAGAGCCCTCACTTCCCTGGCGGCCCTATCAATGACTTGGTATCACTGCCGTGCCAAGGGGGGAGAAGGGCACAGGAGGATGAAGTCAGTGTTTCTCCTGTGACCTAGACACCTAATGTCTATTTGCCTCAGTCTCCTCATCTGTAAAATGGGGATAAGCATCTACCTCCCAGGGTTGTGGTGAGGATCAAACCTTAAAATGCTATATAAATGCCTGCTATTTGTTATTATTATTATTAGGCATCCTGGCCTCCTTCCTCTGGATGTTCTTCACTATGGGGATGTCCTTCCTAAAGCGGGACATCCAGAACTAAGCCCACTTCTTCTCATGTTGCTTGCTGAGGGCTGAAGGCAGAGGGACCATGCCCTCCCTCGTTGTGGACAGCAGGCCTCTCAGCGCATGCTAGGATCACATTAGCTGCCACATTGCACTGACTCATGTTGAGCTTGTGGTCCCCTAAGACCTTGAGATCTTTTCCCTTTTTTCTGCCGAATCACGCCTCCTCCATCTTGCACTTGAGAAGTTGAAATGTTGAACCCAAGGGCAATGCTTTACTCTAAGAAAAATCCTTTGGGCCTGTTGTTTTGTTTTGTTTTGGTAAATGTTTAAATTTATCTTAAGCTTAAATATAAAATGAGAAAAGAATATTGCCATGCACGGAGCAGAACATAAGAGAGGGTTCCATAGAAAACAATACATTTCCATTTCAAGAAAGCCTATATAGTAAATCCTGCAGCCTGTTTTCAAAGCTGTCCAGCTTTTCTTTGCTTCCTCGTAGGTTGACTTTTGTTCTCTGCTGTGCACTTTTTACTTTCTTCTTATCCCCCTCTCTTCCCCCCAGAAGATAGTAGGATAAATGCTAGAACCTTACTGTCATTGGAAATGGGTTAACATAGATCTAGAACATATATATCTAGAACAACATTTATCTAGAAGGATATAAAAGTCTTCTAAATTCAGAAAGAAATGAGAGCAAGGGATAGGATGAGGGAGAAGATAAGGGAGGACTCTGAGAGGGTTCATCTGACCTTCAGATGGGTAGATGGGAAGGCACAGGGAACACTCAGCATCAGGTAGGTGAAGAGACCCCAGGCCAAGCTATTGAGTCCAAAGAAATGACTGAACCTGCCAGGGAGTCAACCAGCATGTATTAAGTACCTGCTATGTGCCAGGCACTGTGCTAAGTAAGTGCTGGGCAAAGGCAAAATGGATCGCTGCCTTCGAGGAGCTCACGGTCTAAAGGGGGAGACGTATGAATGGATGGATGGATGGATGGATGAGGCAGGCAAGCCGGCCTAAGGCAGCAAGTCACCCAAAGGGAGAGAAGGAAGGCAATATGTGCTACTGCGGATCAAACCCCACCCACCACCTCAACCACCGTCTCCCTCAGACCTTGATGGAGACAGCCCAGGACCCTGAGCCCAAGAGCCTTGGGGATAGCAGCACCCCTCAAACATGCTTCCAGCCCTGCCCCCACAGCCATCACTGAGGGCAGATATCATGTGGAGAGTGGCCCACCTTGGACATCGCCCCCAGCAGCAATGCTCCCCCACAGGCAGACAAGCAGGGCAGCCCTGGGGTAGCAGTGCCTCCCAGACCACTGGTCCTGCCTCCGGCCCAGCCCCACAGCCTTCAGCCTTCATCCAGGGAGGTCTTTCCTGTGGAGAAGGGGTCAACGGCCAACCACCCACCACCCCTGGGCAGGCAGGCAAGCCAGCCTAGCTGAAGCAGGCAGACACCTGGGAGAGCCTGCAGGCAGCATGGGCCAGGAATGCTTTCCCCTCATCTCTACTCCACCTCCCATCTCCAAACATTTGCACGGGCTGTCCCCTATGCCTGAAGTGCCCTACCTGCTCACCGTTGCTTCAGAGAATCCATCAGGATGCAGCTTAAGCACCATCTTCTGCAAGAAGCCTTTCCTGGTCCCCCTCCCCCACTGCCAGAGCCTTTCTTTCCTTCCCTCCCTCCCTCCCAAACTACCGCCCTTAACCTCTTTGTATCGACTTGTATTTCTACGTCTTTATTGTCTTTCTTATTAGCAGATTACCAGGTAGGGACTGGCTTCCTCCAGCCCCTGGCACCGGGCCTGGCACATAGGAGGCACTTAATACAGGCTTGTTGACTTATCCCTCATCCAGCATCACCTGCCTGGGCCCCAAGATAAATGCCCCTCCCAAAAAATTAGATCACTTTGGATGGAAAAAAATCCAGGTATAAACTGGAGAATTACACACGATTACCACGTTATAAAATATATTTTTTCTATCAATGTTTTGTTTACATTTCTTTAATGTACAAGTCAGATTTAGGGGTGGGGGGAGGGCCAGGAAAGAGCTGCTTCTATCTGAACCCAGGTGGTCTCTGCAGGAACACCGAGTCATGCACATGTTTGCTTCGCCCGGCCAGTATCACCCAATGATGAACCTGGACGGTGCTTAGAGATCACCTCATACGATCCCTCCATTCCCCAGACGGAGCCTTGAGAGGCCTCAGGACCTGGACTGTCAGGGCCAGGAGGGAACCTGAGATAATCCCATTTTCTGGGAGGAAGCGAAGCCTGGACAGCATGGGGCATAAGGGAGAGGGCGCTGGCTTTTCAGTTGGACACACATTCTAACTCTAACACGGACAACCTCCGTGATTGTGGACAAATGGTTGTACCCACTGAGCCTCAGCTCCCCCATCTGCAAAATGGGGGTGATCAGAGTAGCATGAGCCACCGACAGACGTCCCAGGGCGGCTGTGAGTTGAGCCCTTTCTAACCTTGGGAATGTCATCACCATCATGTAGTAGCACATAGTAGGCGCTTAATAAATGTTTATTGATTGTTGATTGATTGATCATCATCAATGACAGAGCTCAGTCACTCAGTGCATGACCTTTGGACAAGCCTCTTCCCCTCCCTCCCTGGGCCTCAGTTTCCTCCTCTGTAAAATGAGGGGCTTGGATCAACTGGTTTCCAAGGTCCCTTCCAGGCTAATGTTCTGTGACCCACAGAACTCTCCGATGAGCTCAGAGCCCCAGCTCCAGGCCTCTGTCCCGGGAGGCTTTGGAGGGGGAGGGACATCAAAGCAGGTGGGCGCCCCCCCCAAATGGGGGAGGTGCTCGGGGCCACAGAGAAGTCCCTGGGGGGCTCTGTCTGGCGCACACTGTCCCAGGCATCCTCGTCGGGCCGCCAAGGATGCACGGCAGCCCTTGTGCTCTTCGGCAATCACCTGGAGCCATCGACAAGAGCGCGTGGCCTCTCGGCCAGCCCTGGTCTCCTGCCATCCTTCAGCTGGGGAGCCATGCCGTGCTGGGTGAGCAGGGCCCGAGCTCTCCCCCAGGCCTGTCTCAGCTCCTGAGAAGTGCAGCCGACTCCGGGCACCATCGCCCCACTGGCCTGCGGGGCCTCCAGGACCCGGACCAAGAGCTCGGCCTCTACCAGCAGCACAGTGAGGGCCGTGTGAACCTTGGGGCAGCCCAGGGCCTTCAGGAACAGAGCACCAGCATCGTCTGAAACAAGCAGGGAGACGGGATGGGGAGTGAGGGGGTGGCAGGGGCCCTCAGCCAGGAGCACAGGGAGCCGGCCACTCACGACCAGCCCTGCCTCTGGTCTGAGAGTGCAGCCTCCCCACAGGAAGGCCCTGCTGCCCGCCAGGAGCGTGGCTCTCTGTGAGCTCTGCCTGGCCTCTCCATCCTCCCCCAGCCCAGCGCTCCGTCAACTTGACCCTCCTCCTGAGCTAGCCTTCCCTCGCCCTGCACCCCCCTCTACACACACACACACACGCACATATGAACACATGCACACATGCGCATACACACCATACATGCACACGTATACACACACATATATGCACATGCCCATTCACACGTATACATACACATATGTGTGCGTACACACATACATTCATACCCCAAAACACACATGTGCATACACATACATACTCGAAATTCACTACTAAAGAATGCAAGCTCCTTGAGGGCAGAAATTGTTTGGGTTTTGTCTCTGTGTCCCCAGCATCTAACACAGCACCTTGTAGATAGGAACAAGCAACACTTCAAATGTGCTGAATTCCCAACTCTGAGCCTTTGCTCAGACTGTGCTCCCTGCCAGAATGCCTCCATCTGGCCCTCCCTCAGTCACTCCCACAATACACAACACAACCAGGCCATGAATCCCTCCCTGCCCCCCAGGGTCTGCTCCTTCTCTGCTGCCTGCCCCTAGACTACAAGCTCCCTGAAGGCAGGGCCCAGGTCCGCATCTGTTGTGGTTTGTCCTTCATTCTCAAAGAGGACCATGACGTCAGGGAGGTGACGCCATGACATGCAAGTGAACTGGATTGAAGCGAGGCGGGGCTGTGCACAATCACCAGCCTCACTTTCTCCTCCGGAGCCACCCGGGTGCAGTGGCCAGATACGGATCAGGATGACTGGAGATGGCCCAGGATACACTGGGGGACCTGGGCCTTTTCAAGCTAAGGTCTTTCCGAGGTCTCAGTTTGTCTGAGGGAACGCTCATTCAGTGATTAAGGCTAGGTAAGAAAGGAGACAAAGAATGGCCTCTTTTACCGAGTCAAAAAAAAAATCAGTTTGGGAGGAAGGAGCCTCAGGGTTTCTGGCCAGAACAGAAACAACTACTGTTTAGCCTCACCCAAGCTTGGAACTTTTGCCGGGGCCTCCTGAAGAAGAGAACTTTCCTGCCTGCTCTCTCACACCTCCGGACCACCCCTCTCCCACCTACCTTGACTCCACCAAAGGCAGCAGTGCCGGAGGCTTTGGAGGACCAGGGGGGCCCGAGCCACTGCCCACCGCTGGGCCTGGGCCCTGAGGGGCGCTCCATCCTCAGCTCTGTCCAGTAGCCGGAGCAGGACGGGGAGCAGGATCTGGGCAAACACAGCTGGCTCTGCAAAGAAGTTGGCTCCATCCTCTTCATAGAGGCTGGGGGGCCTAGGGAAGGGACGGCCACATCAATCCTGCCTCTGGGACCAGGAGCCCTGCCCCACCCCGCACCCAGAGCTCAGCAAGTCCTGCTTGCACGGGGCTGACTGACGGTGACCCGCCACTCCCCAGGGCCCCACTCCAGAGAAATCACAGGCCGAGTAAAAGAACAGCTCAAGCCTGAGTGGAGCTCTGAGGTTTACCAGGCCTCAAATCAGCTCTAAGAAAATAAGTGAGTCTTCCTGAGCTGGCCTCCCCTTACCACGTGGCCCCAGGCCCAGGCTTGCCCCTCTCCTTCAGCTGCCCAGAGCCTACAGGTTCCCTGGCCTGGCCCCCAGGCCCAGGCTAGCCCCCTTCTAGCAGCTGGCCCAGGCTACCCACTTCTAGAAGCTGGCCCAGGCTATCCGCCTTCTAGCTGCTCCCAGGCTAGCCCCCCTCTAGCAGCTGGTCCAGGCTAGCCCCCTTCTAGCAGCTGGGCCAGGCTAGCCCCCTTCTAGGTGCTTCTAGGCTAGCCCCCTTCTAGCAGCTGGGACAGACTAGCCCCCTTCTAGTAGCTGGCCCAGGCTATCCCCCTTCTAGCTGCTCCCAGGCTAGCCCCCTTCTAGGAGCTGGGACAGGCTAGCCCCTTTCTAGCAGCTGGTCCAGGCTAGCCCCCTTCTAGCAGCTGGTCCAGGCTAGCCCCCTTCTAGGTGCTCCTAGGCTAGCCCCCTTCTAGCAGCTGGTCCAGGCTAGCCCCCTTCTAGTGGCTGGCCTGCTCTGCAGAGGACCCAGGCCTTTACCAGCTCATGCCCAGCACTCAGTCTGCTCTGAGGGGCACTGAGCACGTAGAGGGAGATCCAAGGCCTCACCGGCTAGCGCCCACCTCCTCCAGGAGGCCCTCCAGATCACACTGGGGGAGATGGAGCATCAGAAGTGGCCAGGTGTCCTCACAGGCCCCAAAGTGTGTCCCAATGACCTGCAGCAGAATGAGCAGCCCCTGGTTGGCCTGCAGTGTCGTGCCAGCCTCCCAGGGCTGGCCTCCCATCTGTTGGGCCAGCAGACTGGCGAACATGGATGCTTCCAGCCTCACTGCCCGGTCCTCGTCCTGCAGCAGGAAAATGCCAGCGTTCAGAAGCCTGAGGGGAAAAGTATGGTCAGGGGAGCCAGGGCACGTCCAGGCTGGGGGTGTCAGCTGAAGAGAAGAGTGGCAGGGGAACTGAGCCAAGGAGGAGAAAGGCGGCAGTTACTGCGAAGGCAGGCGCTTCCAAGGCACCAGCCTCTCCTCTGCTAACCCACGAGGGCAGAGCTGCCCACAGTCTCGCCTGTATGTGGACGTGAGGCCCACTCTTCTGCACCAGTGTGCCTTCATCATGATGGGGGCGTGAGAGTCATACACCTCTGGCGGATGAGGGAGGGGGACCAGGTGGCCTGAGGTCCCCTTCAGGTCTACAGCCAGGAGCCTTGGATTTCCATTATACAGATAAAGAGATTGAGGCCCAGAGAGGTTTCATGGTCACACAGCCTGCAAGATACGAAGGTTGTTCTCCCGACTCCCGGCCCAGTTTTCTGCTCCCGGTGCCACCCCGGCTCTCGAGAGTCCTTGCCCCCAGCCCTCACAGCTTCACCAGGGCCACAACCCTTCCACCTCGCCCTCAGAATCATCATCCAGTCACCACTACTGTTGCCTCTGGAAAGGCCGTGTCAATGACCTTGGCCACCGCATGGCTCCACTCACCATCCCTGTGACCTCTCAGGCCAAAACACCCCTCCCTGGCCCCCACTCTCCCATTGCAAAGTAAGCCTCCTGAGGGCAAGTACCTTCTCTTGTTCAGGTATTTCTATCCCCATCACTTGTGTTTAGCACACAGCAAGTGCTTAATAAATGCTCATTCATTCATTCCTTCTGCCTAAGAACACCTGCGGCAGGCTGGGGGGCCTGCCCCGCCCGCAGAGCAGAGCCCCATCTGCACCTGCATTTTCCCCTCCTTCCTAAAGCCTTCCTTGATGATAGCGGCCCACACCAGATTCTCCCTTCTCTCATCCCAGCCGCACTGGTATACCTGCTGCTTTCTGCACAGGGCACCCCATTTCCTGCCTCTGGGCCTTTGAACAGGCTAGCCCTTTTGCACTGCTCGTCCACAATTAGACCTCATTCATAGCTGGGCGCTGTTCACTTGCTCCAGGTGACTTGAAGCTTACTTGAGCTGGCTGTCCCCTGCCACATCATCCCTAGAAGAGGCCATTCAGTCTGGCCTTGGCCACTCTCAGTGACAGGGAGCTCACTACATCACCAAATACTCCATCTGATTGTAGGAAGCTCTGTCTTTATCTCGGGCTGAAATCCGCCTCCTTAGGGCATCGTGCTTGCTGCCTGTCTTTTGAGAAGCATGAATCTCTTCTCACCAGTGGGGCTGTGAAGTCCATGAAGGCAGGGACCACATTTTCCCTCCTTCCTGATGCCCTCACGGAGCACAGCCCAGGGCTAAGGAACCTCAGAGCAGGAAGGAGAACTCCCCTAAGCCAGATTTGACTAAGGCTTTCCCGACAGATGGCTTTCGGCTAGCTGACAGCCCCTGCCATCTGGGGTCAATGCGACTTGTTTGGAAATTTCCTTACCATCGACCCCAAAGCTGCTTGCCCGTAGCTGAGAGGACACAGCTGGAGAGCCCTTCGAGGCCAGTGGGTTCAACCCTCTCATTTTACAGAAGGGGAGACTGAGGCCCACAGAGATAAGCTGGTAAGGGGCAGTGCTGGGATTCGAAGCTAGCTCCGAACTCCAATTACAGCCTTCTTCCTGCGGCCCTGTGCAACCTTCCCTCCAGCGCTCCTGGTTCTTGCCGCCCTTCATGTCTCCCCTGAGACTAGACGCTTTTCCAGACTAGATGCTTCTGGTTCCCCAATCAACGCCCTCCCAGGCTTCCCTTCAGCCCTGGTGGGGGCCAGATCCCAAGGTGAGTTGGCCAGTGTGCCCCATCCCCAGCCCCAGAGGCTCTGGAGCAGCTTACCGGAGAGCCAGGGCTGCCAGGGAGGGCCCAGGGCCTGCCCAGGCTCTGACCACTACCCGCACCCCGGCCAGGCGGAGGGATTGCGCTGCCGCCAGTCTCAGATCCTCACCGGTGCGGGGCTCACTCCAACGTTCGAGAACCAGGCTCCAGCGGCCCAGGGCAGGAAGGTCCTCGGGCCTGGGAGGAGCACAAAGACAGAAAGCAGGGACGCTGTCAGGGTGAGAGCAAAGCCATCGGGGAAGGCCAGAAAGAGGTCCCTGGCCCAGGCTAAGCCCTGGGCTCCCAGGGATCAGATCCCAGGGTGGGAAAGTGGAAAGAGTCCCGTTCAGAGTCACGAGGTCTGGGTTCGAATCCCAGCCCTGCTGATACAGAGAGGGAGAAGGGGAAACGGAGGGCTATTATGGACGATGAAGATAATCATGTAAAGGAAAGCTCGTCCTGGATGTGGAGAGAGCGACAAAGGAAGGACGGAGGTGAGCGCAGAGGGCAGCGCAACACTGTCTAAAGTCCCAGCGGGCTGGCTGTGAGCAAGCCGCTCACCTCCTCAGAGCCTCAGTGTCTCCCTCTCTCAAATAGGATCGTAAGCCGCTCTCCCTCCCTTGTTTAAGGGACAGAATCTGTCCACTCTGAAGAGCTGCCAATGAACAATGGGCCTGGGGAACTCCCAGCGTGGGAACTCTGGCCCTGCTGCAGATCAGCCACCCACATGTGACTGAGCATCTGCATGAGCTGCCTGGGCTCAGAGGTCACACAGCAGGACTTGAACCCAAGCCCTCCTGACGGCAATACTGGCGCTCTGTCTACCACGCCCCTGCGGGCGCTGCTCCTTCCTCCCCTGCCTCTTCCAGGGGGCTCCGAGGCTGCATGGAGGGTCCTGCCATGATGCCAGGGGGTGCCGAGGATGAAGACCAGCCTGCCTGAGTGCCAAAAGGCCCCTCCCCAGGAGGCCGCCTGCCCGCCAGCTGCCAGGGGATTCATTTCTCTGGACAGTGATTAACCCCATCTCAGGCACTTTCCAGACAGCCATGAGACCTTGGGCAAGTCACATCACCACCTGTCTGCCTCAGTGGCCTCATCTGTAAAACAGGGATGAGAACAGCACCTGCCCCCAGGGCTGTTATAAAGACTCAATGAGATATCTGTAAAGCGTTTTATAAAACCTTAAAATATCATAGAAATGCTAGCTATTACTGATACCAAGCCAGGGAGGAGTCCGAGGGGCCACAAAGCCGAGGTCCTCCACCCTGCGGGCAGCACGGACCAGCTCGGAGGAGGCGCCTTCCTGCGGGCCAGGCTCTCCCTTCAAACCTCTAGCGCTCCAGACGTCCTGGGCCCTGCGTCCGCGACTTCTGCCTTTTTGTATCCCCAGTGCTCGGCACACAGTGGGTGCTTAATAAATGTTTGCTGACTGTTTCCTGTGCCTGCAATGCCCTCTCCCTCTCCAAGCCTGGGGACCATGTAAGTCCCCAGAGCTGGCAGAGACCCCGGGGCCCTCCCCGAATGAGAATGCCCTCCCCAGCGCCTGACAAGTGAATGGCCAGTGGCTCTGCCTGGACACCTCCAAGGAAGGAGGGCAGCTGGCCCTGCCCTGGACAGCCCTGACGGTTAGAACCCGGTTTTGATTTTTCTCTTGGTCACTTCTCCTAATGCTGTGGGGTCTGTCCTCTGGGGTCACGCATCAGTCGGATCGCTTTGTCACAGACAGCAAACAATCAGGCCTGGAAGGGGCCGGGGGCCATAGGGTCCAACCAGGCCCCTGAGAGGGAACCGCCTCCACTCAAAGACCTCCAGTGACAGGGAGCTCACCACCTGTTTGGGCAGCCTGGTTGAGCTCAAGCTTAAAGCTGCCTCTCTAGAACACCAGGTTCCACCATCGGAGGCTGCACAGAACACCCCGACCCCCTCCCATGACCCACCTTCAGATAGCTGAGGGCACCTCTCATGGCCTCCTGAAGCTTCCTCACAAGCGAGGCCAGAACACTTGGCCCCCCTTTAAATTCTGAGTCCAATGCCGCCTCCTCCAGGAGGTCACCCCTGATCCTTCCAGAGGCTGACGGCCTTCCCCATCAGCCCTCACCTCACATGGCACTTTCTGGCTCTCTAGGAGCCTTATCGTGAAAGGGTGCGTCTAACAGTGGGTTTGTCTGGCCTCCACAGCTAATAGCGCCCCTGCTGCACTTTGAGGGTCACAGAACCCTTTACAGACAGAATCACTATGAGGAAGGGTGTGCAGGTATTGTCACCTCCATTGTACAGATGAGGAAACTGAGTCTCAGAGAAAGCGAAGTGACTCACCCAGGGTGACTCATCCAAGACTCAAGCTGCTAGAACGGCACAGAACCTTTAAGAACACGTCATCTGACCCACTTCAGTTAAGATGAGGACACTGAGGCCCGGAGAGTTGAAGGGGGAGCGAGGAGCGGAGCTGGGGGCTCAAGACCAAGGTCACAGGACCACAGGGGCACAGTCTTAGAGCCGGAGGGGACCCAAGAGGCCATTTAGCCCAATCTCCATATTTGCAGATGAGTAAACTGAGGCTCAGGAAATGAAGGCGTCTGCTGAAGGTCATCCCGGTCCAAAGGGGCAGGTCAGTGTGCCCCAGCTCCTCTGACCCCAAGGTCAGGGCTCCAGGGGTTCTGAGCACTCCCCACTCCCACCCCTGTCAGGGCTGAGCCAGGGCCCAGAGAGGGCCCTGGGGAAAGGGTTGAGGGGGGACCTACCCCAGGGCCAGGAGCAAGCTGAGGGCACACAGCGCCCTGCCCAGAAGGGTGGGGCTGGCGCCGGCCATCTCCACCAGGGACAGCAGTCTATCCAGGCAGGCTGGAGGCGGGGCTGGCGAGAGCAGGTCAGTGCGGGCAGAGGGGTCCTCATGCAGGTGCACCAAAGCCTCCAGGTGGAGCTTCAGGCCTTCGGGGCTGCCTCCGTCCTGCAGCACGGGCCACAGGGTCTCCTGAGGGGGAGGCCAAAGAATCAGGCTTAGAGCCCAGCCCGTCCTTGTCATGTCCTAAGGCCCCTGGGCCTTCCAGCCTGGCTCTGGCGCCTCTTCGGGGGCATCGAGACCGCTGACAAAGCCTCAGCTCAGCGAGCACCACCCCCGGTGTGGACGCCAGCTCACAAGCAAGCTCCTGCCCAGGGCCATGAGATGGTTGGGCTTTATCTGCTCGTTCCCTGGCTCCTCTCCCTGCCCTGGGTGGCTGAGCTCTCAACAGCCCCCGCTCCCCTAACTGTGCTGAAATGCATTCAGGGCAGTTACTGCCCCCTTGGGCTCAGCCCACACACAGACGTGGGCAGAGAGAGGATGGAGGGAGGGAGGCCGAGGGCAGGGGCTCACCAGCAGCAGGGCCCGAAGAATGCCGGCCACGGGCTTGCAGCGGCCCCCTTCTTCCAGCACCCAGGCCAGGACAGCCTGGCGCACCTCCGGGTCTGGCCCTCGCAGCAGGGAACCCAGGGCCTGGGTCCGGCTGGGATCGGCCAGCCTCCCAGCCTCCCTGCAGAGGAATCTGGCACTCTCCTGTCGCAGCACGCTGGCACCCACCTGAGAACCAAGGAAAGCCCATAAGCTGGCATGGCCTGAGCACCTACTGTGTGCCCAGCCCTGCCCCCAAGGAGCCCACCCAGCCAGGGTGTGTTCACCTGGCCTTGGTCGGGCTCTCTCTGGCTTCTGCAAGGCAGTGTAGGCCAGTGGAAAGCACAGAGGGAGGCATGGGGCCCTGGACTCTTCTGCTCCTTGGGCCCTGCCTTGGGCCCTTGGACCTTTCCTTCTCTGGGCCTCAGTTTCCCTCTCTGTAAAATCAGGGTAAACCCAACAGCAGTACTCCCAGTGCTTCTCCCTCTGAACCAGTGCCCTCCACAGGACTCCTCCCTCTTCACTGCTGCTGATTGCGGTCCGTTTCCCCCCCTCATGGTCTTCACGATGGACCTGCCCAGGCCGCCGGCTCCAGACAGGGGCTCCAGGGCACCCTCCCTCTTCCGACATGGCATCAGACGACGATGTCTAAGCTCTTGAGGCCAGGGAGGCCCTGCCCAGCAAGGGGCCCGCCCTCCCAGGCGTCCTCTGGCCTGGCCCCAGACCACAAAGGAGCCGGCCCAGCCTCCTCTTACACCCAGTGCCCCAAGTCTGGGCCCACGTGCCAGGCTTCTACCTGAGTATCTGGCCCACAGGGGCCCAGCTCCTGGGCCACAGCGGCCTCAACCTGCCTCAGGAAGTCTGTGCTGCAGCCGCCGGTCAGCAGGGAGAGAAGCCGCAAGTAGGCCGAGCGGATCAGTGGGCAGCGCTGGGCAGGCGTGAGCAGCCAGAACACGGCCTCCACCTGACGCACAACAGCCTGCAGGCCCTGGAAGGCCCGGCTGCGGACAGAGAAAAGCACGGGCTCAGCCCACAGTGGCCACCTATGGGCCTCCCCTCCTCCCCACCACCCCTCAGAGTCCTCAGCCCAGGTGCCTCCTCCTCCAGGAAGCCCACCCTCATCCCTGACTTGTTTTGTCTTCTCCGCCACAAAGGACCAGCCTTGTGCTAAGGGACCTGCCTGCCCACCTGCCCCTCCATACATCTGGAACTGCTGAGGCTACATGAGTTTGTCATCCCCACTTCATGGCTTCATGAAGTCTGCACTTTGCACACAGTAGGAGCTTAATAAAGGCTTGTTGGATTGAACGGATCAGTAGAAAGAACACTGGGCTGGGGGTGTCTAAGGATCTAGGCTTGTGTCACAGAATCTCACTCCCCAAAGAGATCCACCACGCTCCCCTCCCCCCAGGCTCCCTCAGCCTCTGCTTGGAAGCTCTGGTGCCAGGCTCTGGTGTGTGCACCCCCAGGAGACCCCGGGCAGACCCCCACGCCTGGTCCCAGTGTGTGCACCCCAAGGAGACCCCGGGCAGACCCCCATGCCTGGCTCTGGTGTGTGTACCCCCAGGAGACCCCGGGCAGACCCTCACGCCTGGCCCTAGTGTATGCACCCCAGGAGACCCCCACGCCTGCCCTAGTGTGTGCACCCCCCGGACGCCCCCGGTCCGCCCCCCCCCCCCGCCCTAGTGTGTGCACCCCCAGGAGACCCCGGGCAGACCACCACGCCTGGCCCTAGTGTGTGCACCCCCAGGAGACCCCGGGCAGACCCCCACGCCTGGCTCCAGTGTGTGTACCCCCAGGAAACCCCGGGCAGACCCCCCCTTAACAATGAGGGGGAATAGCTAATATTAATCCAGCTGTTCACTGGCATCCATACGTCATCTCAGTTAAAAGATCTGAGCCTCAGTCTCTCTCTCTGTAATACGGGCACTTGGACTCAGCCTCAGTCCCAGAATCACAGGATCTAGGCTCAAATCTCACCTCTGGTGCTTACCAGTTGCACAACCTTGGACAAGTCATTTTACCTCTCCTGGCCTCAGTTTCCCCATCTGTCAAATGATGACGTGGGAGCCCTGAGGCTTCTTAAGGAATTCCCTTTCAGCTCTCAATCTCAGATCCCACACGCTCAACCTTAGGGAGCACTGAGTGCAAAGCCTTCATTTGACAAATGAAGAGATTGATCTGGGGAGAGTGACTAGTCCAAGGCCACACAGCCAGTAAGTTTCTCCCCTGGAACCCAATCCCAGAGCCCTGACTCTCCGCAGCCCAGGCCCCGGCCTCATCTGCCCGTGGCTGCCCACCGCCCCTCTGCAGCACCCTGCCCCGCCTTGAGCGCCGCACCCGCCCCCCTCCCGGGAGACCATTCAGCATTGGCCCAACAGGCCCTCTGGGCCTGCCCCACCTCCCACCCCAGGATGGGCCTGAACCCAGGACCTGGCCAGCCTCGCTGGCCGCTCAGACCCCGCCGAGAGAAGGACAAGGAGAAAGCCCCCGAGATCGGCTCACCAGGCGCCGTCCCGGGCCAGAAGGGCCTGGGCCTGCAGCAGCCGCCCATGCAGTGTGTTGTGGGGGCCAGGCTCCGCTAGTCCCCTCAGCAGGAGCAGCAGGACGTCCTCCAGTTCCGCCAGAGGCACAAAGGGCACCAGGGCACGGGCGGACATTGCCCGCGTGGCATAGACCGGACTCGCTGAGAGATGAAGCAGCCGCTCCTGGAACCGGGCCGTGCGGCTACGAACGAGGCCAAACCCACGTGAGGCCCCCGGCCCTTTGTGGAGCCCCAGGCTTCCCAAGCCCCTCCACCGAGTGGGCCCGGGCGTGTAGGCCGGGCTCTCTTCAGGCAATGGCCCCTTACAGACACGGCCAGGACCATGTTAGCTCAGGACCGCGCCGGTCACTCCTGGCCTGGCCATCGGCCAGAGCTGCACCGACAAGTGAGGCGCAGTTGGCACAGACGCTGAAAGCCAAGCCAGGGGCCGGGGGCCAGGGGGCCTCAAGTGGGACGAGCTGAAGCCAGAGACAGGCCCCCTCTGGATTCCACTTTCCCTGTGTGTGGCGGCAGCGGCCACTGCCCTCCACCGTCATCTATCTGTCTTCCCGTCTCCAGACCAATGTGGCCTAGGCCCAGAGGAACAGAGATCGAGCCTAGAAATGCCGCCATGCTCCCAGGCCAGTGTCAGAGGCACCGGGCACCAGTGACGCGATCAGACTGTCCCTCCTGGCAGGGCCCTGGCCTGTCTCACCCTCCCTCCCCCCTGGGTGGGCCCTGGCCCCCATGGGCACTCCTCCCTCCACACCATGTGCCCTCCCAAGGCCTAGTACCTGGTCAGATGCTCTGTGCCAGGCTGGAGTTTGGCCAGGAGGGTGAGGACGGCGTGGAGGGCAGGGTGGAGGCAGCTGTCCCCTGGGGCCCCCAGGGAAGAGAGCAGTGGGGCCAGGAGAACAGCTTCCAGAGGAGGGTACAGGGTGAAGAAAGCTTCTGGGCTCAGGCCTTTGTGGGAGCCACTGTCCTCCCGGCTCAGGCTCTGACCCAGAAGTCGGCCTATCAGGGCACCTGGAGAGGCAGACACGGGACCATAAGTCCACCGGCTCAGCCCAAGGAAGGGCTGCTAAAACATCAGCCCTGGGACCCTCCCTTCCCCGCACCCCCGACCCACCACATCTGGAGGAGAAAGCACCAGCAGAGCCCTTCACTCACCAAAGAGCTGGGTGCCAGCGTTCCTCATGGCCCAGCAAGGGGAGCCCAGTGCCCCTAAACACAGCTCGAGAAGAGGAGCGGCCCATTCCAGCGTCGGGGCTCCCAGGCCAGCCCCCCGCACCAAGGCCTGGAGCACGTGCAGAGCAGAGACCTGCAGGAGAATGGGCGGCCCAGTCATCCTTCCCACACCCCCGGGGGCTCCCAACGCATCTCCCAGTGTCTCCTGGCCACATCCCCGTCCCTTTAGGACAAAGAGCTTAGATGTGGCCGACCTACAGGCCTTCAACAGGGACGTGCCAGCACATCGATTTAATACCCTGAATTACATGAGCCAATGATAGAACGGGGGCGTCAGAGCTGGCAGGGGGCCTAGAACGGGGGGCGTCAGAGCTGGCGGGGGCCTTAGATCAGGGGGTGTCAGAGGCGGGAGGGGCCCTAGAACGGGGGACATCAGAGAGGCGCCTTAGATCAGGGGGCGTGAGAGCCGGGAGGGGCCTTAAAACAGGGGGTGTGAGAGCCGGGAGGGGCCTTAGA